TTACAAAATCACACTCATTGTTTGTTGACGGTAGGGCTTTAAGTGGAGCGACGCAAGATTAGTTTAGGTCGAATGGAACCAGGTGGAACGTCTATGATGCGTATCCATGACCTGTTGATGATTGAATTGGTGTTTGCACGTGTATTTCTTTTTTTTTTGTGTTGTTGTTGTTAGTTTTTTGACGAAAAATCACTTTTCTAGATGAATAAAAACGTAACCGACATTTAAACCGCAACCCAGTCCCACCCTATCTACCAATTCCCTTTAATTTCTCTTTCAATGTGTTCCTCTCGATATTTTTTAAACGTCATTTTTTTTTAATTTCAAGCATGAATAATACATTTGTATTTAGTAATTATTGTTTTATTATATTATCTTATTAAAAGATAATAGCTGCACCGGGATTAAATAAATATTTGAACATTTAAGGAGACGTATTTCAACATGTTTCTTTTAAGGTCTTTGTTGGCTCAAGTTATCGTTCATTAACCATGTTCATTACATCAGCGTTAATAGTCGAGCATTTCTCTGACCAATGTTAAGATATTGTTCATTAACAAGGTTCATTACATCAGCGTTAATAATCGAGCATTTCTCTGACCAATGTTAAGATATTGTTCATTAACAAGGTTGATTACATCAGCGTTAATAATCGAGCATTTCTCTGACCAATGTTAAGATATTGTTCATTAACAAGGTTCATTACATCAGCGTTAATAATCGAGCATTTCTCTGACCAATGTTAAGATATTGTTCATTAACAAGGTTGATTACATCAGGGTTAATAATCGAGCATGTCTCTGACCCATGTTAAGATATTGTTCATTAACAAGTTTGATTACATCAGGGTTAATAATCGAGCATTTCTCTGACCAATGTTAAGATATAGTTCATTAACAAGGTTGATTACATCAGGGTTAATAATCGATCATTTCTCTGACCAATGTTAAGATATTGTTCATTAACAAGTTTGATTACATCAGGGTTAATAATCGAGCATTTCTCTGACCAATGTTTAAGATATTGTTTATTAACAAGTTTGATTACATCAGGGTTAATAATCGAGCATTTCTCTGACCAATGTTAAGATATTGTTCATTAACAAGTTTGATTACATCAGGGTTAATAATCGAGCATTTCTCTGACCAATGTTAAGATATTGTTCATTAACAAGTTTGATTACATCAGGGTTAATAATCGAGCTTTTCTCTGACCCATGTTACCAGCCGCTAAACACTTGAATTTCAGCCAGCGTTTTCCCTCCTTCCACATGAGAAAATTAAAGACTATTAGGTCATGGAACGACTTATGGAATTGCGCTAAGAAACCGAATTCATGGCTTTATGATTAACAAGCACACGGTCTACCGTTGGGCCACACCGTCGCTGATTTCAACATTTTCATGAAACTTTGGTTATACTTCCTGGTAAAGCTATTTATACAACTGTTTCCACAATACCACCTACACATCCAAATTTCGTCCGATTGTTGTAGAACCACTTGATATCTCCAGGTGGTCCTCCCTGAGCCTTGTAATGACAAGTAGAGTTTTAATTTGTTAATTGTTAGAAGGGGGGGGGGTGCTATGAGTATAAAGAGTAAGTTAATGAAAACGTCAAAAAGAGCTTAACGTTAACATAGTAGATTAAGAAGAATGGTGGATTTATATTTATATGTAAAATGGGACATTGGATTTACATTAAGAATACTATATTTGGTAGGATACTATACATATAACATACATGTAATATACTATGGACAAAAAGAGTTTTTTTAACGTAAGAAAAAACATTTTATTAATGTAAATCACTACCTAGAACACGTAGCAATTAAAAATATTTATTTGCAAAAGATTGTAAAAATTACTTATAAAAAAGGGTATACATTTTACTATTTATTATAATGAAGATGTGACACGTTTGTTCTGTACATTAAGATATGATCCTGGCAATAATTATTTTAAAACCCTAACATTTTTTTCCTGAACTAATGATGATTAATGATAATTATTTTTTCTTTAAAATTATGTCTAGAATTTTAATACTATGCTGACAATTTTATTGGCGGTAATTTATTATTTTTAAACATTTTAATTTAAATATTTTCTAGCGTCTAAAATTAAGCATTGATTTGTTTCATCAATTCGTTTCGATTTTTAATGAAAGTTTTTTTTTAGCCGGATATTCAGAAATATATATGTGTTTTGATTGATGGCTTTTTTCAAGATATTTTTCTTGTCTTTATATGTATGCGCTTTAAAAATCACACTGTGCCGTTTACTTTTAGAAAAGATGCACGTTTATTAAAGTTCATAGCCTAAACCTTAAAAATTAAGAAAAAATAAATTCATTTATAATCTAATATTTTTTTAATTCGTTAATCGTTGCCATTAAAAAAACACATAACAATGTCTTTTTTAATTTATTATTGAACAAAAATAACCTTAAATATACATCATTGACGATTCAGTGTAATGAGTAGAAGTAATATAAATTAGTTTTATTTGAAGATCATAATACTTTACTGAAAGTATTCATATTTTACACTAGATGTTGCTGGTAGGTAGGGCATGATTTTGGTAACTGCCTTCAGCTGCTATCGTGACATGTTCATACTTTGGTTCTGTGAAGTAAAAAAAGTTGTATAATATCGAGTTTCAACAGTTGTTAATTTTCGCTGATAATAAATGATGTGCATCATAAATATGTGTGACAGTTAACCAAAGAAAGAATATTCTATGTAATCTGGTACTTATATCAATATGATAGGATAAATTATTGACAATTTACAGAATAACAAATTTACGTAAACTGAAATCGCTGTAAACAAGGGTCCTAATGATTTAATACACATAACCTAGTATGTTCACTGTTCCAGACAAAAAGTTAAATGGATTATCGCTATAGGCCAAAGTTTCTCAAATAAATCAAACAAATACGCATAATTCTTCTTCTTTAGCTTGGAAAAAGCAGCCTTACATAACTATTACAGCTTAACTTCCATGTAAATATTACTTAAATAGCACAATAATAATATGTAATTGACTAAAAAACACTTTTTTTTCTTATAACTTATGTTTTAAATAGATTTTCTAACGTTTTAACACATCTAATCCATTGAACACTTACGTTTACCTTTTTGAAAGTCACGCTAAGATAATCTCACTCGCTAAAATTATTCCACTGTAACAAATTACACGTTAATACACGGTGATAGTTATCTATTGCTATTTGTGAAGGATCGATTTCATCATACAGTCTAGTGGTGTTTACTTTTTGATACCTCGCCCTTTGATCTGAAGGTTGTAAAAAAACATGTGCCTTGTTGGCCGTAAATGATTTAAGGTATTAATTGAATTAAAGTTAACATTTTTAAAAAAGTATAATTTTTATATAACGAAAAAAAAATTACTTGACTCACCTTCATTCTGTTCGATTCTGTCATAATTTTGAGCCAAGTTTACTTCTTCGTAACCTATAAATAAATTGAAGTATAGGATATACTTTACGCGAGTTTCTTTAATTACATTTTACGTAAGGTTATGTCTAAAAAAGTTTATATGAAGCATGTTTAAATACCAGTATTTTCTGTCTTCTGGGGCACTGAATTGACTGTAGACTTCGGAATTTCAACGCCATTGTTTTCTAAAAGATAATTGAAATTATTACGCTGATGTCGATTTACTTACCTTTTTTATACACAATTGTGAAAATGTAATTAATAAGTATTAGTTTAATTTAAATAACGATTTACTTAAACGATTGCGTTTTAATTTTGAGAATGTTATTGTTATCCAAAAATAGTAGGCATTACTACTGTAATTAAACAAATACCTTCAACTCCGTGTCTTTTTGTGCTGAAACAAAATACAGCAGGATAACACTTCTCTTTTGATAACTTATCAATAAAGTTATTTAAAATTTAGTATTTTAAAATAGTAATAAAATGTTACCTAATTTGAGAACCAGAAACGTAATGCAACAAACATATTCTTAAAGAGCAATTTTCAATTTATTTTTTGTATAAAATAGAAAAATGTATTAGAAATAACTTATTCCTTACTACTAATTATATTATGAAATCGAATTATATAGGTTATTTCTAATTATTGTCTTTTTCTTTATAGCAGACCGATATTACGTAATCTTCATTTTGATTAGCATATTTTTTGGCAAAAACTATATCTTGTTTTAAAACATAAATCGAATTAAACTTACCAGTTTATTGACTTTATTTGCTGCATATCTTTTCCTGTTAAGAAAGCAAAGAAATGATGAACATATTTTAAAACATAGTGTATGATTGAAACAACTCGCAGTTACATGAGATAATCCACATAGCACTGATTGTATTACAAAATTCTCATTTTTCAAATACATACAATTAATATTATATTAAATTGAAATGGTGCCTTACGTTTGATAATGAGCAGTATAATCAAAGCAATAAGAACAGCACCAGCTAGAGATCCACCAATAGCTGCCGGTAGAACGTCTGATGTGCTTGTGGAGTCTGTTTTCATCTCTGTTAATTTTAATATTGTGCGTAACGGGAATGCCGACATTTATTTTTCTGCTATTTAAAGTTAATGTATGTTTTAGATGTCCGCGGTAATTAGTGTTGAAAACAGATATGTTCTTATAGAGTTCAACTATATACAATTAGCTAAGGCTGATAGCATGACCTTAATTGAAGAACATTTAAATTTAGTCCGAAACAAATACTAATTTAAATAATTCAAATTTTATCATATTACCTTCAGTAACCGAAAACATGTACACTAGCTCACTTCCCCAACCGTTAGAAATCCGTAACGTGTAGTTTGTAAAATCTACGCTGGTCACATTGTAGATTGTCAAATATAAGTTACCATAAGGTAGGCTCTGAATGGAATAGTCAAATAAATATTTCTTGTTGTCTTTTGTGGAGCTATTCGATACAATATGATTCACATTGCCGGTTTCTCTTCTAATTAAAGTGAAATAAGTAGGCGCGGGATATCCATAGACCTCAATTTTTGTAATCAAATTTGTCTTAAGTATTGCTTTTAAAACATTCCGTTCAGATTCTGTATTTGTTAGATGTAGAGCACCTGTAGAAAATAAAAGTGTTGAGCTGAATAATCATATTTGTTTATGAGCACGCAATACCGATTAATAATTATTGTTGAATAATTGTAGAATACATTATAGAAGAAAGAATTATCAGACAGCACTGAAATAACAATGATGTAAATGCATTCATTTATTTTATCTTTATCGCATAATAATCATTTCATAAAGCTAATATATTAGCGTACTAATTATAACATGAAAGCCAAATTATGTTGAAAAACACTTCCAAATTCGAAAAGCTTTAATCTGTTAAATTGGCAAATAGTCTTCTTATTTCATATGTATTTTAGAATTTAAAAACAGTTCAAGTACCTAGTGTTCTTAATATGATATCAATACCAACAAAAAACAATACTTACAGTGCAACCCCGTTTTAAATAAATGACTCTTTATGTAAATTTACACTTACACTGTACATATACAGTAATAGATCTCTCTTGTGTAGTGCCAAATATCAAGTCAGTCGCTTGACAAACATACTCCCCACTGTCTACACAAGACATTATTGTACTTGTATTGATCACAGCTCCGCTTGTTCGCTTTTTGATTACCACTGCTGCAGGATTGGTAGTGTTGCTTACATCACATTGAAAGACAACACTAGATTTATCAGTAACAATTAATGTGGTTGTGTTGGAATTTGAAGTAAATCGTGTAATCTCTACTGGGTCTGTTAATAAAGATAAAAAACAATAATATTGTTTTAAAATAACATTATTTATTTGGGTAAGGTTTAATAAAGATTTTTTTTTTAAATATTCAATAGGGAGAATAAAATTTTCTTATATACTGATAACTCAGATATTTATTTTTTTTCTTTGGAAATAACTATATTTATATATATATCGTTAGAAAATATTCATGTATAAAGAAAATTACATTTCATTATTTTTAAAATATTGAAAATACATTTTAATGTGTTTATGTTGGTGGGTAAACAGTGATTAAGAGAAAAATGTCACAAAACTGTAAAATCATAGTTCTAAATAAGCTTAAAGTGTATATACTGTTAGGTTTTATAGATTGAATTTAGAGATACATCAGTTATCTGCACTCAGTTTAAACCTATTACGTCTGTAGACTTACATGCAACTTGTATTGGAAAATAGAGATCTCCAGCTGACTTTCCTAGAACAGATTTTCCCTTACAGGTAAGATTCACACTACCAGCTGAATAAACGTAGACAATACAAGCGTATTATTTTTATTTGTACATGATTTAAAATAGCATACATGTTCTAGTATTGTCCGCCATAATATTATCCGAATATACATGTATTCAGAAACATAAAACCTGGAAATCTAACAACACTTTAATCCAATGCATATTGCAATGTACGCCTTAAACATGATTATATAACTTTTTAAGTACTTTGCAAATAATCGTACAAAATAATATTTGTTTATTTTGTTTCCTTTTCAAGATATGTGTTAAAATGTAACTGCAACAAAATACATTTTGCAAAAAAAAATGAATATATTATTTTAATTAACAGAGTTTTAACAGAGTTTTATATTGGACTACATTATTCGTTGTTATACATATTGCATTTTTTGTTTCAAATAATTAATTTTTATTTAGAAATAGATTATCAGAAATAAAGTTACCATTCTGATCGACATCGATTGTTATTTTGGCTGATCCATTGACTTCATTGGTACCTACTTCAGTGTATGATCTCTTATTTATCTGATACCACTGAGCCTGACCAGGGGGGTAACCTGGACTGGACAAGACACACAAACACGATGCGGATGTTCCATTTTTGATGTAACCATCTTTTACATCCAGTCCCATAGGACACTTGCCTAGTTCAACCTTCGGTAAGTCTGTTGAACATTTTGGTAATTTATATTATTTGGTTATGATCTATTTAAGTGCATAATTATCTATATATATATAATTCTCTTCTGGGAGACGTTAGAAAACAAGCTGCAAGCGCGCCTTGCAGTCCCCTCTCTTCCTCTCTATCGCTACCACCCCCCCCCCCCCCCCACTCCCTCACATGGCCTGGTGAGCTGTGGTTCACGCTAAATGTTTATAATCGTAGAGACTGGTTTAGTGACGGCTATTAGGGGCAGATAATTTAGTTTGAAGCGATTTTAAACTTAGAGGAGGTAACTAAGAGGAGGCTGTTTCACGGGGGGGGGGGGGGAAGGGGGTTTAGTGTTTTAAAGCAAATATTTTCAGTGTCAGCATTGGTACTGTCGAATTCACAAATTATGAATTACTGAAAAGTAGAAAAAAAAACAACTAAATAGCGGCGTATGATACACCGCGGGTCGGCTCGTAATATATAACGCGAATTATATAGTATATGTTTTTGTCAAAAATACTAATACAAAGACAATTAAAATAAAACTAAAATTTTAATACCTCATACATCATTTTAAAATTGATTCAAATAAAAACATGTTTGACTTATAATATGTAAAAGAAAACGAATTTTGTTTAGCGTTAAAGTATCCATTTGTCTTCGAATTGTTTTAGAGGCCAAAATTTTATATTTAGCTGACAAGTTGCACAATATACTACAATTTGCCATTTTACACTGGGTCTACTTTACTCTGGCAATCCAAAATACACAAAGATAATAATAAAAATAGTATCAGCGGCTATGCGTTTGATGAGAAATAGAATTTAGCACCCTACCTAGCACAATGGTTGAGTAATGTTGAAAACTATAGCGTTCCCCCTCTGTTACGTTAGGAAATATTTTTACTGAAATATTATTTGTGTCCAGAATGAAATAACTGACAGGGATGACTCCCAGACATCTGGCTACATAGGGTTGTACGGTCGTGTCTTGTTGGCAATCAGAGGTTGTTTTCTGACAGAACAATTTTAAGATTAGACACTACTCTTTAGTTTATTAATGTATCATACTTTACATGTATCATTCCTAAATGGCTAACACCTACATAGTTTGATAAACCCACTGTCATCTTTGCCCTAGGAAATACATTTGACGACACACAGTTAACGATGACATGACTGTATACAGATGTCTCAAAGTAACTGGTGCAATTAACGGAAACTGACCTGTCTAATTAGATAAGCATATGTATTATATATATATATATATATATATATATATATATATATATATATATATGTATGTATATATATATATATATATATATACATACATACATATATATATATATATATATATATATATATATATATATATATATATATATATATATATATATATATATATAAATATATATATATATCAATGGATATAATATTGACATGTGGTTTCAATTTGTTTGTTTTTTGTACAAAAAATACCCAATGTGTACCTTCTAAGTGAAAGTATTCTTTGTTATGGAATAGAAACAGTTTTATGCAGTTTATAAAGGTCTCACTTTTTTATTATACACTAGAATTTAAACAACGATATATATGTATATATATGTATATATATATATATATATATATATATATATATATATATATATATATATATATATATACGGATGCCAACTAAGCTTTAGAAAGGAATGTATAACAACAGGTGTGATAATGTGATTATACGTTACTTATCCCAATTCTTTGTTGCGAAAACTATTTTATAATGAGTAACATTAATAGATCAAAAATATATAAAATTACAAAAAAGAGAAGCCTAACGGTCATAAAGAAACAACGTTTTTCGTATTAACAAAAAGTATACTTACTAAACACTTCTAAGGAATCACACACAATGTAACTTTTCTCATTAGTACGGATAGTGTAACGTGCTTGATAAAGTTCAGTGAACATTGAAGAAAAATAAAGATCCATTCTTATTGTATTAGTTTGTGTAAGTGTAATGTTAGCGGAAAAGAAAAATGATATGGATCTACACTCCAACGTTGTTAAGCTGCAGAAACTTATAATATTGTCTAAGCTATACCAGTGTATGTATAGCTCGTTTGTAACAATACCACTCCAGGATAGAGAATAGCTGTGTCCTATCTCAGCAGGTTCACAACATTGTACACCTGTAAAAACATGTCAGTAATGGAAATAGTCTATTAGATATTTAACGTAGCACGTATTTTTAAAGTATATTAATATAACTAATATAACTACATGATAATATTACAGGCTCTCTACTCACGTAATACTATTATGGTTGGCAGAAATATTAACGTATTTATTACATTAATCATGTTGCTGCTTCCTGAATAAAAATATAATACATAATGTAAATAAAGTATCTAGTATACAGTTAAATTTGTTATTGAAATAAATACAATAAACAAATAAAGTCTTTAACAAGAAATATATAGTATAAGTCGACGGATTTATGCTAAAGTACGCAAGAAGTTTAAAAACTAGTGATGGTTGTAGTTTTTTTCTGTTCATAGAAACAGGACTAACTGTACTACAGATCACCCTAATAACTTTTAAGCCTTGAAATAAGAAATAACGTAGATTCTATTTGAACAGTTTCTTTTTAAACATTATATATTTATAACTTGATCAAATGTAACGTGTTTCTTTTTTTTAATTTTAGAGGTCTGTGTTGTTTGATTTTTGTTTGATATGCCAGTGCTTATTGGTGTTATACTTTGTCCCACATTTTAAAATACGTTAAGCATAAACTGTTCATATTTTACTTCCTGTACGAATGCTTTAAACTAAACTAAATTTAAATTTACTTCTTGCAAATTTAATCATGTTTTATTAAATGTTTTGTTTGGCTACTATTATAAGCTTATTTTTTTTATCTCTAACGTACTACGTATAGTAAAGAAACAAAAAAAAAAAACTTGGAAAGAAAAAATTTGGAAGTAAAACGTATTCGGATTTTTCAGTGCTTGTTACATAATAAGTAGGTCTAAGTTTGTGTTTTTTTAGAAAACATAGAATATCAATTATGAATATAAGTTTAGCCAATAACTAGAGTGTTACTGTACCAGAGTAAATTAAGATTAGAAAACAGTATTTGAAATTTAGAAAAATGACTCATACAAAGCAGATTAAAGTTACCTTATTTATACGTCCAGGTTAGTGTAGAGGGGAAGAAAATATCAACAGCAGATACGCGTTGGGTATAACTTAGTTGTTATCTTGCCAGTAGGTCAAGGCAACACGCTAAACATGTCTATGCATGTGTGTTCGTGTGTGTATGTGTACACTGTACACAGGTTGAAGTAGAGAAGAACCAGACAAAGAAACGCTTAAAAATAATGAAATACACGCAATCATTAGAAAGGCTTATATAAAGTTGTTTGAATAGGAACGACAAAGGCAGAACTTGTTTTACTGTCAGCTCGTCATTGCTTTGCGATATGCATCGGTATTACACCTGGAAGGTTTCCTAACATACGAAAGACAGACACACAGCACATAGACAGACACACACAGACACACACACACACACATATATATATATATATATATATATATATATATATATATATATATATATATATATATATATATATATATATATATATTCAAAAACATAGTTGACGTACAAACTCTAACTATTGGGCTATGCGTAGCTTGATATGTTTTTCATTTTCTCTCCAACCAGAAAGTCCATGGGGCAGATGTAAAGTTCACCTGTTTCTGTGACATCGGCATAGCAGTGAGCACTATTTCAAGCCGCCTTTACAATGCCTAAAGTACCAGAAGAGTTAGGCAGACTCTAGGAAGTTCTACGAAACATAACCTGAGACTTTCGGGTTAGTAGTCGTGTGTTCTAGAATTATTATTTTTCTATCTCTTTTTCTCTATCTTGAACATACAAACAAACTTACACGCACGCAAACACACACACACATACATACACACACACACACACACACACACACATATATATATATATTTATATATTTATATATTTATATATTTATATATTTATAAATGTATAAATTACCTATTCGCTTACAATAGCATAGAAGCAATATATTCTCGAAATTAATCGTTTGTGCAACGAACTTTGACCTAGTTTATATTAATATCTTCAGGTACATTTTGCAGTGTACAGCTACAGAGATCAGGTGTAATAAATTGAAACGTGTTTTACTTCCTGTTTGCCAGTGTGTAGGCCTACGTTTATTTTAATACTAAAATATGATTCGTTTAATTGTTACAGAAATTAATGTTTGTACACAGACAGGGTATTTTACGTGACTACATTCCAGT